GCGCTGTAGCTGCTTCCTCCTGGAGTTTTTTGCGCACACCATTGCTTCACTTTTATTATAATTGATCGGGAGTTTGTTCTTCTTGCTCCAGTTGCTGACCAGCTCTAGAACCTCATTAGCCTTCTTTTGTAGTATGTTACTATTCTGATGCGCTATCATTATCAGCGTATCGTCAGCAAAACCTTGTGCCTTGATATCTGGGTCCGAGTCAAGGCTGCAAAGCAGGCCATCATATACTAGGTTCCAGAGTCCTGGGCCACTTCTGGAACCCTGCGGGCAGCCTCTGTTAATACTCTTTTCCAGGTTAATTGTATTTGAGTAATAGCCCACAGTCCTATTTTCCAGGTAGCTGTTGGTCAACCTATATATGTTGCTCGGGCAGTTAGTTTGATTCAAACAATGCAATATGGAAGGCCACCATAGGTGGTCGAATGCCTTTAAAAATCAACACTTAGCAGCAAAGCATGTCTATCGCTGTCCCATGCCTGGTTAACAAAATCCTTTACACCCTGTATTGCGTGGATGGCCGAACAGCCAGGGCGGAACCCATATTGGTTCTTATGCTGCAGGTTGTTGCTACTCAAGTGCCAGTTTATTCTGCCAATGAGGAGACCATTCAGGACTTTCCCCATTGTTGGCAACAAGCTGATGGGCCTGTAGTCACATTCCATAGTTGGGTTGTCCACTTTTGGAATAAACTTAACATTTGCCTTCTTCCACAGCTCTGGGAAGTAGCCGTGGTTTAGGCAGGCATTATACAATATCATGAAAGCAATAGGGATTTCTTGAAACGCTGCCTTCACCATTTCTGCAGTGATATTGTCAATGCCCGGCGCTTTCTTGCTGGCCATAGTATTTACCATATGTTTTACTTCTCGAAACGAAAACCAACGATCATCCTTGCTGTTCTGGGGGACAGTGATGTTATTCCTTACTTCCTCATGCATTTCCAGCTCATTGTCTATGCTATCATTTGGGAAATGATTCTCAAGTAGTTTCTCAATATTTGCAAGAATATTATAGGTACCGGTGCCATCCTTCTTAGTGAGATTGGGGATAGTGGCCTTTTTGTTATTCCCAAAGACAATGTGATATGATTGAGACCAGGGATCGTTACAGGTCTCGGTGCAGAATTTCTTCCATGCTCTGGTTCTGGCTTGGTTTATTGCTTTTTTATAGTCTTTTAAGCTTTTGCCATAGGCTTCTTTCTTTTGCTCTTTCTGGTCACTGTTCTCGGCTCGTAGCCATTGCCTGCGCAGCCTCCTGATTTCATGCTTCTTTTGCTCCAACTCATTGCTCCACCAGTGTGTTTTTCTCTTACTCTTAGCCTTATAGGTTGCTGAAGACTTGATTGACTCAGTTATATGTCTTACATAGTGATCAATGTCCGCTGGGCTCACCAAGGAGTGAAAGCTGTACTCTCTCCAGTGAACTGCGAAGAGTTGCCTGAAAGTTTCCCAGTTTGTTATACGACGGCGGGTGTCCTGGATGGTAGTGTTGGGCTGAGTGTTATTGTTAATAGCAGTTAGAATGTAACGATGGTCGCTACAAGACGTGATTGTTAAAGTTTCGCAATTCTCAATATACCTACCCACAGCTGTGGGGGCCAGACAGACATCCGTCCAGCCTTTGGCTCTACTGGTAAAGAATGTAGGATGATCGGTAGTATTTAGCGATATACAGTCAGCCTCGTTCATAAAATCATTTAGTAGTCTTCCACGGCGGTCTTCTTCTTCATGAAACCAAGTTGGGGATTTAGCATTTGCATCCCCTGCTATGATATATTTGTCACTGCTTAAGGAGCGGACAACCTTACTGAGTTCCTCAATGCATTCTGCATCAGAGTCGAATGGAGAGAAATAAATACATATGATGTAATTAATAGCATTAGAATTAATGACTACCGTAGTAATGCGGTCAGAACTCAACTCCGGGATCATAGCCGCATCTATGTCAGTGTTTCTGATAATAACACCACATTTGGGTCTTTGATTACTGTTTCTCTTATTCAAAATTTGCCACTTGCAAAAGCGGGTGATAGTATTATTTACCGTGTATGGCTCCTGAATGAGTATAATATCCACATCCAGGTCATTTGCAGTTTTCATCATAAGGGATGAAGCCGCCTTACTTTTCTGGGTATTTATTTGTAGAATTTGTAGAATATTGGTCGTAGTAGCCATGATGGTGGGGCAGCAGAACCAAGTGTATAATTATTCATATAGAGTTTGCTTTACTATGAGCCTCTTGTAGTATTGCAGTATTGGACACAGTGCAGAAAAAGCATTATGTGCTGCTCTGTACTTTCTTCCCTCTGGTTGATTTTTATTGGCTTTAGTGCAGTTAGTGCACTGCGGCCCGTCGTTCCGATTCGGGCAGTCTTTGTACTTATGTCTCTTCGTGCAGTGACTGCACTGCTCCTGCGAGTCGCAGTCAGCTGCTTTGTGACCATACCCAGTGCACTTGTAGCACCTTAAAACAGGTATATAATCATCCACTATTAGCGTGCCCCACTCATAGCATATCTTTTTAATATTGATTAAAGTATTCCGTACTGCCGGCGTTACGTTGACTATGACATGTCTACAGTCATCCTTCTTTTTTGAGTCAATTGCACTGATGATCCTTGCTTCCTTAAAAAAACTCTCCAGTGTGAATTTCTCATTAATTCTGACCAACTGTTCAACCATCCAACCATCCAACCATCCAGTCATTCCACTGTCATCTGGACATTATCATCCTGTTCTCGACCATATTTCATCCCCTTTTCTTTGCTCTCTCTCTCTTCCTTCATCATCTTTTCCACTTCCAGGTCATATCTCTGAGTGGTACCTGGAGGATCCCTCTCTTTCGTATACTAATGTCTAATGTTCTCGGACAGAAGATACTATTTTTGTAAACATAATATATACAATAAATCAGGAAAATTGTTTTGTAACCGGAGAGAGTTGTCTCTATCAGCAACACTCCCACATACGCTTCAGAACTGCTCAGATATCCTGCTGTTATGCACAGTTTGGCAACCTCACAGTTGTTTGAGAACACTATCACACTGGAAGCAAAAGATGTGTTGCCGGACAGTCTTGCATCAGCACATCGAATTTTGGCCATGGATTACTTGCCCATTCATGAAATGGCTGGCCAAAGAAGCATACACATTGGTCATTTCAAGTCGGACTTTGGCCAAAGTGCAAAATAACTAGCCAATTCAGGAACTAGCTGAAGTTCAGGCTTTGGCCATAATATATACATGTGCCTGGTCCAGTGCTGTAACTAGCCTTTTATGCACCCGGTGTGAGCTTCTGTAACTATGCCCCAAAACTACGACCCAAACTTGGTCCAGGTCATTTCTGCACCTCCCAGGGTCTGTGCTCTGTGGCTGGGCACCACCCTAGTTATGGCACTGGCCTGGTCTTCCCTAAATGGAATTTTTTTTTCTTATGTTAAACATACATATCTAGATGTTTATGAACCTTACAACATCTAATTGTTTAAAACCTGTAAGGACAGGAAAAAAACTCAACAAAAATATAAAGTCAATTGATATAAGTAGTTTGAGTTCAGTAATATTTATTATTTTTTGTTTTCTTGTGTAAATTTTACCGCTAAAGTTTGAAATCCGTTAATGTGCACATTACCTAGCTAATCTGCACATTAACTACAGTGATCCGTTAAAGTTGCTAAAATTGTTCTATTTCTCAAATTACCTAGGTAATAGGCAGAGTATCTAGGTAATCTGCACATTACCTACTAGGCACTCGGTAAAGTGAAAATAAGATTTTTGCTGGAACAACAGCAACGTTTCTGTATGCTTAAATTAACATAATGTTATTTATTTAATTTTCAATATCTAAAGAATCAAGTTAATACAATCAAACAATCAACAAATTAGTTGATTGAATCAATCATCAATCAATTAAAAAAACTTTAATACAAAAATCAAACGGTTTAAAATATTATTACTATTAGGGAAATGAATTTGCAAAACATAGAGACCTACAGTTGAAAGATGCAGAGGACCAACGTTTATTCTTGAAAAGAAATTACATAAGTTTCTCACCTCGCACATCGAGAGTAATGTAGTGTACTTGTAGCACAGGATCCAAAGGAGGTTGTTAATGAAATACAAGATATAATTTTAATGGATAATGAAATTGGAACTGTGATGGACTATGAAAGTTTATACCCGTCTATAAAAATTGAATCATGCAGGTTAGCACTTTTAGATTTCATGCGCAGCAAGAACCCAGAATTGGCATGTTACAATAATGAATTAACAGAAATAGCTAACCTTATTTGTTATGAATCGTTTTTCACCTTTAACGGCCATCAATATAGACAAAAAAGAGGAGTCCCTATGGGAAGTCCCATGTCGGGACTGTTGTGTGAGCTTGTATTAAGAAGATTGGAAAAAAGCGCTCTTTCTGTATTCTTAAATGACATTGTTTACTTTAAAAGATACGTTGACGATGTCTTTGTAATTTGGAAGAATGACAAAAAAATCGATGATTTTATTAGCATGATCAATAACAACGATGATGGCCTCATGCTGAAGATTGAACAAAAAAATGCTTCACAGATACATTTTTTGGATATTGACGTTGAGTTCAAAGAAGGGCACTTGGCCACTAAGGTATACGTAAAACCGACGCATAGCCCTCTGTACATTCCGTCCCACTCTAATGATCCTTACCAGTACAAAGTGGCTGCCTTCCGTGCCCTTATCCAAAGGGCCTTTCTCTATTGCAGTAGTGTGTTGGATAGGCAACAGGAAATTAATAGAGTATTAAATATTGCCAGATCGCTAGGGTACAGGAGAGATATGATAATAACATTGGTAAAAAAATACAAAGTAAACAAAACTAAGGCTCAAAAATGCGATTTCGGCAAAATTACAAAATTCACGTATGATAAAAAGAGAAAAGACATCATGAAGGAAATCGCGGTCCGCAAAAAATCCAAGTTAATTTTCAAGAGGGCTCCTAACCTGTATAAATTATTAAGGAATGACAAAGACAGAGTAGATAAAGAAAAAAGAGCTGGAGTATACAGGATTCCTTATGAAAATCGTGAATTGGACATCAATAAAAATTATATTGGTGTCACTAATAGAAGTTTAGGAGTCAGAATAAAAGAGCATAAGTATAACATCAGCAAGGGATCTAGTGCCACTATACTATCGCAAATGGCGCAAGTTGAAGGCTCAATCGTCAAATGGGACGAAGCAGAAATTATTAAATCGGTACATTCACCGACATTGGCGAATTGCGCAGAAAAAATTGAAATATATAAAAGCAAATTGCATGATTCATGCATCAATTCTAGAGATTCTGAAGGGTTGCCTTCGGCCTGGAAATACTTTATCAAACGATTGGACAAATCTTAATTTATTGCGGCGATTTTAATATTTTTTCGCATAAAGTGCATTTCACTGAATTTCTATATAACGTTTTAATATTTAGTTAACCTATGCTTATTTTTTCGTATACATTTTTTGTTATTTGTAACAATAATTTTTATTTATTTTATTATTCTTTATACATTTATATATAAATTTCGCTCGTTATTTTATTTTATTTGTATTTAAATTTTTGTTCTATTTTATTTATATTCAAATGTTCTTAGCCTGACGATGGCCAACTGATTTGGCTGAAAACGTTTGCTTTACATTAAATTTTTTCTCAGCAAATTAAGGTGTTGTGTTTTTTGATTTATATACTAATGCTGAGTGAGTGTACATCAATTATATTTTTTGCTTTATTTTATCTATTAAATAGCTTCATAATACAGTAGTAAGTTGCCAAATAGAAAATCTATTTTAAAAATCACTTGGTACACTACATGACTATTCTCCATACACCATGAAAGACCTAATACATTGTCTTTCCTCTGCCATTTTCGTCACACTGAACATTCACACCCAGACCACAGTATACATGACCATCACATACAACAGAAGACTAGCCACCCTGAATAATAAAATTTTCAGTTAACTTTCCAAAGAAGTTCCTTGATTTTCATCCTCCTCCAGAACACTAAAAACTGTCCAGACAGGCACCTCCAACTAGGCATATACACTATCCCAGTTACAGATCACAAAACCAACTGCCACTTGGAATATACAGGTGATACAACATGCCCTTTAAACACCTGCCTCAAAGCGTATTGGAATTCCATCCTGAAAGGATCAGCCAACACCACTCGAGCCACCTTTGCCTCTGACCCAACATAGAGGTGCATTTCAAATGTGCATGCCTCATATATAGCTTCACCCAGAAACAACATCTCAGATATTTAGAACATGTAGAAGTTTACAAGGTCACCTGAAAAAATACTACCATTAAATTTCACAATGTGAGCTCCTGCATGGAAAATGTTCTATGAACTGTTAATTTTCTATCCTCTCCTGCTCCCTCCCTTTTTCTTACATCATCTCCCCTCTTGGCACTTGTATGGCAATCCCCCATTGTTTTAACAGGTGCAGGATCATTTATACTGAGGATGCTCATTTAACACAGTGAAAACATTAGTTCTGTTACTTTTTCTGCTGGTGTTTGGTTTCGGTTGCTGCTTTTATCAAGTTTACGCAGTTGTGAGTGGTTGTTTTATTTATTTTAAAGTTTAATGAAAGAAATTACCTTCATTTGTTGGCACTAATTTATTAATTACTTTCTCTCCTTGCAATGGCCAAAGTTTCTTTAATGATTCCTTCAATTCTTTATCTGCCTGATCCATTTCTTCCGCTAAAAAGAACAGAATATATTACTTTAAATTTTTTCATAATGTTTCAATATTTCTAAAATTAATAAAATTTTAAAATGCTTTTAAACTAGCTAAATAAGTCTAACTTACATTCTTACAAACTTAAAACATCTATAAGAATAATTCAAAATATAATACAGTTTCACTTAATATCATCAATAGACCTTGGAAACTGGGACATTAAGTGAAATGATATATAACAAAATCAATATTACCATAGGCTTAATCAGGGGTTGGCGACTTGGCACCCACGGTGTATTTCAGATGCACCCTCTAGAACCAAGTCATGCAAGTGCAAATATATATACTTGTAATTTTATTTAATTTGATTTTGTGTTATTTTATGTATGTACTTTTAATTTTAAGTTTTTATTTATTACATGCATGTATAATATTTATTTTGTATAAATATACATATTTCAAAACAATTATTTTTTTTGTTTATTATAACATCATGATTTTTTCAAAAATTAAACTATGCACCCTTGATAGTTTTTAAACTTTTTATTGCACCATTAGTAACAAAAAGGTTGCCAACTCTTGGGCTAAATGATATAAACAAGATATAATCTAATTAGATTAATATAATTGAATTATACTAATCTAATTATTATTTCTTACCTCATATAGAATCAATTCTACAGTTTGTAAAGAAAATTCAACAATACCTGTAAATAATTTCAAATGTATTTGTATTTTTTCTCAACAACATTATAATAAAACAATGTTAAGTGAGAACCTGCTGTATATTTCTCTTTAAATTTATAATAAACTGTAGTATAAACTTTAAAAACTTTTATAATTCTCTTTCTAACCTGTTACCGGTGCGTCTACTATGTCGTAACGAACCAAAAACGAACCAAAACTAATGTTTTCGAACCCTTATACCAGTTCTTCTTCAGGCTTTTTCAAATCTCTGATGGAAAATGCAGCTCATAAAAAACTTTAAATTCGAAATATGTATGTTCAAATACACGTTTCCCGTTTCCATTGTTGTATGTCATGCGCAGTCGACTCCAAAACGGATATCATAAATTACCATTCATAAACGCTAGCCACGCTGTTGATAACGTAATCTCTTCTTTATAATTGATGCATTGATTATCCTTAAGGTTAGCTAAGTATATGCTGGCCGCCTCTAGCCTCAGATGGCTAGAGGCGGCCAGCATATACTTAGTGTATGGTGTACTTGCCGTGTGGTGCGGATAATTCTGGCTTTCTTAAATTCGGGGTCTATATCCGGATCGGAGGCATATACTGCTAGAGCCGTCGTGTCCCTTCGTTTCTGAATATCCGCAGCGTGTTCTTTGAGTCTAACCTCTAAGGATCATTTGGTGAAGCCCACATACAGAAGGTTTCTATCACATCTGCGATCTATAATTGGTATGCTGTAGACCCCTGACAGCCTATCTTTATCAGGTTGATCTTTTCCATTGGTTAGTATGTTGAATATCAAAGCGCACCTTCTGTAGGCTATACGTATGTGGTTCTTTCTAGCTATTTCTCCATATAGCCGTCTAATATATGGATTATAATTGACTGGAACGATCTTATCCATATCTTGTCGCTCTTCTCTTTGTGGTAGGTCTTGATTTGTGTTTTGATATTCATGCAATAACTTGCGTATAAGCTTGCCGTATCCGTGTTCAGCAGCTATTCGTTGTGTAAGTCTTAGCTCTGCTTGTAGGGCTCGCTCAGTGGAAGTGTGTGTGTGAGCTCTCTTAATTAGGGCCTTAAATGGTGCCACTTTATATTGCGGTGGGTCACATGACCCTACTGGTATGTATATGCCTTTTGTTCCTAACTTACGGTACACCGCCATGTGGATTACCAACTCCTCTACCTTGATGTCAATATCTAGGAAGTGTACATTCGTCTGGTGTGCTTGCTCTATTTCTATGGTTAATCCATACGTATTATTATTCATTGTGTCGACGAAAGCCTTGATGTCCGGAATTTCTTTCCACAATATGATAATATCGTCAACATATCTCTTATGTAAAATGATGTTGTGTAGGTGGTGTGGGAGGACTTTAGCTTCGAGTATTCTAACCACCATCTCGCACAAGTCACCAGATATCGGACTACCCATAGGGATTCCTCTTCCTTGCGTGTACACGCTACCTTTGAATTGGAAGAAGGAATTGTAACACAGTAGATGGGCCATCTCAAAAATTTGCTGGTGTAGAGTATTATTGTTTAGGATAGAGAGTAGTAAATCTCTGATGGCGCAAAAGGCAGGAGGGAGTAGGATTGATGGAAACAGCGACTTGAAATCCAATACTGTGAGAAACTTAGGTGTTACGGTGATCTTTTTGAGGGTATCTATAAGGTCCACAGGGTCCTTCAGCATGTACGGATAATCTTCCAAGTAGGGCATGATAAGCTTGTGGACGAACTTCTCCATTTTATGTGTCGGAGCTCTGGCCTTATCTACAACAGGACGAAGTTGCTGTCCTACTTTGTGGATTTTTGTGAAAGCAAACAACTTCGGTGTATCTGGCGCATCGACTATAATATTTCTCATTTCCAGTCTCTTAGCCAGTTTAGTGGTAGCGAAGCGTTTAACTCTATTCTGTAGCTTATCCACCGTATCCCTTTGCACAATGTCGCATCTGGTATTCTTAATGTGCTCCGATAACAATTGGTCATATGTATTGCGCTTCATGAGTACCATAGCCTTGGACTTATCGGCCCTAACTAACGTGATTCCATTCTGTTTCATCCACATCATAAACGTCTCTCTGATCCTGAATGTTAAAATACAAGATTCTTATGGACTGTAAAGGCAGTATAATATATTTAGATAAATGTAAATTCTCTCTCTCACATATAGATTTAAGTACAGTAATACCTTGACTTACGCGAACCCGGAGTTATGCGATTTTCAAATCTCGTGGATTCGTCTTTTGTTTGAGCAGCATGCAGCTCTTGATTATTCACTCCCCCACACTATTGTTCAGCTTACATGTTCGAACGTGTTGCGCGGAATCGACGCATACTTACAATTTATTTTGTGTTATTTATTTCTGTGTTTGTTATATCTATGGAGACTTGAGAGACTCTATATGGGGATTTCTTGTAACCGTAAATGAATCAGAAGACGAGATAAGATTAACGAGAACATTTATTAGCTTACATACCCCAATTTGTGTAAAATTCAAGTCAGATGACTTGAATTTTACACAAATTGTGGAATTATATACCGACTTACGCAGTTATCGCTCGGTCCCACCTATCGCGTAAGTTCGGGGTATCACTGTAGATAGTTGAATATTCTCTTTTAAGATAGGTTCAGAATCATTTAGTTGTAATCCCTTATATTCTGATATTATTGTAATATTTTTTTTTATTCCATTAAATATTTTGTTTGTTACTTTAATATGGTCTCTTCAATGATTAAAATCTATGCCTATGTCCTCACCAAGTACTTGCGTACTTTAATCCACCTGTAAACGAAATTCATCATTTACAGGTGGATTAAATTGATTAAGTGGTGTCAGAAAAACAACCACCAGGAGATCTTACAAACTCCTGGTCTACATTAAAATCTTAGGAAGTCATCCAATAACGTTTAGAGATCGGATTTTGCAATCCGTGCCAATTAAGTGGTACACGGGTTTACTAACTTTGTACCGCCAGCTTATCTCACAATTGGGTAAATTATGTGTTATAGGAATTGCACAGTAGGCAGTATGTACTGTGATAGAATATTATCACTATTACTTGATTTGTGTTGCTGTCAGTAACAATTGGCATGTAATGCTTTAATAATCAAATTTGTTTTGAAATTTGATTATTATTCCAGTCAATGCTCACCGCTAATGTCTGATTTAATATAATGTACAGTACGTATTTAAAATGATCTTTTTTATGATCTTATTTTTAAAAATAATTAATATTTTAAGGATTATATCTAAATTCAATAAAATTAAACAAAGAAAGACATCAGGTCCTGAATTCAAACAACAAAGATTTGTATTAATTTACAGCAATGTGATATATAGACAATCTGCTGAGGAGGACTTTCTATGGGAAACTGTCCCCTATTTAGGCATTACTAATGTGAAGAAAACCTGGAAAACTCCAATTGGCCCCCATTGGTGAGGCATTAATGCATAATCAACTACCAGTGTTTGGTGATTTTATTCACTTGGCCACTGGTGGGCTCCTTTGGACAATAAAAATTACATAAACAAAAAGAAAAAAAAAAAACTAAGCCAGTCATTACAATCATTTTTGCAAATAATTAGTAGCAAGCAGAACATTGATACTTCAAAAAATAACGTGAGGTCCTGAATAGGTCCGAACCTTCACAAAAATTTGTGTTAAAATTATTGTTGTAAAGAACGAAAGAAGAAAAAAATTGTTTGCAGCCAGACATGGATTTTTGTTTATATGAAAATGCAACAAAAAACCAAACAATAGAAAAAAAATTAAGTTTTAAACCAAAATACTCAAAAACCTTTATAATGCAGTCTATTCATCTGAGACTGCATATTACTCAATAAACAAAACTTACTCTAACACCTTGTAAACATGCAGCCAAATTTATTAACTTCCTAATGTTTTCAGCCATGTTAAATGACCTTTATCAAGAAAATACTTTAAAATTCGAACACAGTACATTTGCATAAACAAATAGGCTTTTCAAACGTTTTTGAATGATATTCTATTGAACATTAGGTGTGCCATCTTTATCAATCGCTAATATTAAAACATGAAGATAAAATAAAAAGCATAAAAATAAAATAAAATCGGGACCATAAAGAGAAAATAACCACAAACATTAAAAAGAAATTAAGACGCCTGAAATATAACATATAACGTAACAAGGGCATATAGTAATGTAAAAAGCATTTGAGCTGTCTGTTTCTTTAAAATGCATTTTCTACTGTATCCATTTCCTCTGTTTATTAGGGTTTATATCAAGCTTGAATGCCATGCCGCCGACACTTTAGTTGATTCTCGAAAGTTGATGGAGAGACCTTTTTGGTTGGCTTTACAAATCTGCCATGCTTCCATGTAACGACGATACTTAATGTCCCGAACTACTTGTATTAGTCTTGCTTGGTCCCATTCGGCTTTGACTTCTTGGGGTCTGCTAAAATGTAAGTGGCCAGCACTGTGCATGGTTGTTCACTTCTTACGTTTCTTTGGCGTTCCGCTATCCTATCCTTGATAGATCTTCCAGTGGCTCTGATATACATTAATTTATTTTGTCGCCATGTGTCCGTAATGGGGATTTTATAAACTCCAGGAAGTGTGTTACTGTCAGCCTCATCTTTATCTGATCTTAGTAGTTGGTAAATGGTAGGGTTCCTTTTATATATGATTCTTTTGTTCGTGGCTTTTTCGATGCATCTACATACATTATTCAACGATGCTCTATATCACGGGTTCCCAACCTATGGGTCGCGACCTAGAAGGGGGTCGCGACGGGCTTTCTGTGGGGTCTCCAACTTATACAGTTAACTAAAAAAAATGTTCACTATAATGCAATTTTTATTTTTAATGGTGTCTTGAAGTTTGAATAATTTGATATACAGTCGACCCCCCTATAACACGGGTTCCTATAGTTCGGATTCCTATATGACGGCGAAAAAATTGCGACGGTGTCCGTACAAACATGGTAAAAAACTCGTATAATTCGGTAAAACGTCATCGGGCAGCCAAACTACTTTCCGCCGTCCAGCGCCACGCTACGGAGAGTTTAGGCGGGTAAATTGAGTTTACTATCATCTGTATAGTATTATATATAAATTAGGTACTGTATATATAATTATATATTAACTTAATTTATTGTAACTTTATTATAATTATATATATACTTTCCGCCGTCCAGCGCTACGCTACAGAGAGTTTAGGCAGGTAAATTGAGTTTAGTACTGTAATTTTATACATTTCTTGTGAAAGAAACATTTCTTATTCAACGGCCATAAAAATTATTTATATTAATGATGTCTCCAAAGTTCAACGAATTTTTCGCAGAAAAATAACTTATCAGAAATCGCGGCCGCCGTTTGGTGCGCTGCTCCGCGACGAAAACAAGCTTAAGCAATGGCGACGTCGAACGGTGCACACTCGGTAAGTAATCCTACAATTTTTTGTTTATAGCATAGTTTATACGGATTATTCCCAAAAAAATATACGTATTTTGGAAATGTTGAGTCGAATTAGTCTAGGAATCGATTAATTTTATGGAAGAAAACCTTTCAAACACCCGTAGTCCGTAAACTTCACACGTGTCGGGCTGTGATTGGCAAGGTCTCCTAAAACATCAATTTCATAAAAAACGGAACGTATCTACCGTGTTATAGGGGTGGTCGACTGTATTTTTTAAAAATTAAAATAAGTGTAATATAGGTACGCTATTCCGTCACAGTTGGTTGAATCATGTGTTGAGAGTTTGAGAGGAATAAATTAAATGTTGAGAATGACATGAGGTTGGCGTTAACAAAAACTCACCCGCGAATTTTAAGGCTGGTTAATAACATACAATTTCAACAATCGCATTAAATTATTAGACATAATTTAAAATAAAATTATACTAAAAAACTAATTTTGCTGTTTTTTAATTACCTTATTAAAAATGTCTTTTTCAATAGTATCGGGGTCGCGGGTCACTTGGCTTTTATAAAAAGGGGTCGCCACCCGAAAAAGGTTGGAAACCGTTGCTCTATATTCTATTGTAGTAAACCCCTTGGTATTAGGTACTTTTCTTCTCTTGCAGTGTTGGCTGGTAATAGCCTTAATATTGACCCTGTATGTCTTTGGCTAGCTTATATATATTATTCAGATCGTCTATTCTGTCCTGGGTATTGTTACAGTGTGAATGGGTTCTTGTGATGAGTGCTCGGAATGCTGCTAATTTATATGCTGGGGGATCCAGTGGATAAGTATCTGGTTGTAGGTGGGTTTTCAGTAGACCTTAGTACAGAAATCTCCTAGGTTGTCAAGTTGTATAGAAAGGTCCAAGAAGTGTATCATCTTATCGTTTTCCTGCTCAAGTTCTATCTCTATGCCAAATCTGTTATCATTTATGTCCTTTATGAAGTGCTGTATGTTAGGTTTTACTTTCCAGAATATAACTACATTGTTGACATATCGAGCGTACATTAGCATTTGCATTTTGTATTTTAGCAATACTGCATTTTCTATCATTCTAAGTATCATCTCACATAGCGAACCTGCAAGCGGGCTGCCCATAGCTACACCTTTCTGGGCAGCCCACTTGCAGGTTCATTATGTGAGATGATACTTAGAATGCTAGAAAATGCAGTATTGCTGAAATACGAAATGCAAATGCTATCTTGCCACTGCCCTGGGGCTATCATCAGATCTCCATTCAGGACACACCATTGATGCCTGCCATAACAAACTTTTGTGTCTACAATTGCCACACGTGGAAGGACTTTGTTGTTAAAACAATGTAAGCGAATATTATATCGGGTCCTCACGTACCATGTAATCTGTATTATTATATCATAGCCGATATTTACATTCTCTCTGCGTGTTAAAATTGTAATCTGTTCTTAATGTTATTGTGACATTGCAGTGTTCAAGGTTAGTTTATACCTACCCATAAGTAATGGGTTTTGCATTTTACTGTAACTGGACCATTCCTCATAATTGTTAATACTGTATAATGGTCTTGTCAACTTTTGTAATTTTGGTTATTAATAATTTCCGATGCAGCGCTCTGAGATCCTAATAACTTTTTTCAGTGTT